CGGGGCGCGTCACAGCCCGTGTCCCTTGCCCCTCAGCACGCCGAGGCCCTTCTGGCCCGTGCGCAGCCCGGGGGCAAGCCTGAGGCTCTCCTGCCCCGCTCGGCGGCAGGGCCGGCTCCCCACGGCTTGGCGCACAGAGCTTGCTCCCTCTTCTGGGACGTTCCCCCTTTGTGTCCTTGTGTTGTCTTGTGCGTGTGAGTGAGTGAGCGAGCTGGTCCCTCCTGTAGGCCCCGTAGAGATGTAGGCAGCGTAGCTTAGACTTCCCAGGAGGGAAAGAGGGGCTCTGTGCGCCAACCCGTGGGGAGCCAGCCCTGCCGCCGAGCAGGAGAGGAGAGCCTCAGGCTTGCCCCTTGTTCCCGAGGACGGAGCGAAGCCCGTTAGTGGCGGCGCGGGCATCGCGACCCGCGCCGCGGGGCTGCCCGTCCTGCTGGCGATGTGCCAGCGTGGGGCCCCCCCCGTCCTCGGGGCTGGGGCCCTGTCCCCGCCGGCCTTAGGCCGCGAGGCCGTTGTTGGGAGTGCCGGGCCTCGGGGGGGGCGGCCCCCTAAGTGGGGCTTTGTGCGTCCCCCCTGCTCGGCGGGCGGTTGGAGGGACCCCCTGTAATCAGGCGGGTGTCCCGCGGGGTCCCCCGGCCTCTCACAGGCGTGGGGCTGGGCGTGTGCCCTCCCTGCCCTCGGGGCCCAGCTCAGGGCCTTAGGCCACGAGCCCCAGTGCCTGGCCCTTGAGCCAGGTACTTGATGCTGCGGGGGAAGGCCGAGCTCCGTGGCTCCCTGGGTGTGGACCCGCCTGTAAGCAGGGTCCGGGTCTGGGAGCCTTTGCGCTCCCTCAGCTGGCAGCCTGCGCGGGGCGACCGCCCCGTTAGCGGGGAGCGGGTCAGGTGCCCCCCGAAGCGGAGAGAAGGAGCCTCCGTAGGCCTTTGGGCCCAGGGCCCCCCTGTAAGTCGGGGCCAGTGCCCTGGTGTCCCAGGCGCTTTGTGGTCCAGGCAGCGGCGGGAGCCCCCTGTAAGCAGGGCGGCAGGCTCTTTGGCCGCTGCCTCGCGTGCCCAGCTGCCTTTGCCCAGAGGGCCCGGCTCCCCGCAGCGGGTGGGACTGCGCCGTGCGTCGCCGTGGTGAGTCCAAGTGAAGCTTGGAGAGTTTTGTGGGAGTGGGGGGGCCTGTGGGTGGGCGGGGAGGGGCTCGGAGATGTGCCTCCGGGGGCGTGGGGTCCGGGTTGCCTCGGTACGGCGGAGCTGGTGTTTCTCGGGCCCACCTGCCTCCTCCCGCCCTGGCAGAAGCCGTCGGAGAAGAGAGCGGAAGAGGCGTCGCGCGGGACGGCAGCGCCGACGCGGGAAGACGCCGCGGTGAGCCCAGCTGAAGTTGGGGGGTGGTGTGGAGGTGTGGGGGTCCTGCGAGTGGGCGGGCGGGTGGTGGCTGGGGCAGCTGCCTCTGGGTGGGTCCTGCTTTCCTTCGGTGCAAGGGCTCGGAGCTTCTGAGTCCGAACTGCGTCCTCCTGCCTTGGCAGGAGCCCTGCGAGAAGAAAGCGGAGCCGTGG